CCTGGGATCCCCGCATACGGTCCACATTGGAGGTTGGGCCTCAAACCCAAGGGGCCATGAGAAACCACAGTCCTCAGCCATGGGTCCTAAGGCTCTTCTCAGCTGAGCCCACCCAGCACACCAGCCCTGCTTGGGGGTTCCCATGCCCTGATGCAGTGCGTTTGTCTCGCACATGGTCTCGCTCCTGCGCCCTTGGAGGTGAAGGCCCCGCCAGTGGCGGGAGGGTCTGTGGGAGGAGGGAGTTTCCCGCTCCCTGGCTTCCGGTTGGTCCAGCGCTGTGTGTCTGAGATGGAGACAGAGAGAGTGCAGGAGGGAAGCCTCTTGTCGTCTCTCTTATAATGGGGATGGCTCTGTTTTAATGGGAGAAAGAATGGGTGGCTGATTGTCTTTTTCTTCAGTTTCAGTTCCAGGGGCCAGCTCTCCAGAGTCAAATTTCTCATTTTGATACAATAACAAGAAAAAGATGAAACTTCATAGCATCATCACCAGAGTCCTGTCAATAGGCTAGAGATGCTGAGTCAGTCCATGTGTTATGGCTTCAGGCCTCAGGAGGGAAGAGCCCAAAGGGAATCCATTCAAGAGGCCGTTAAGTCATTTACAAAACCTGGCTCTGCTCACAAGAGCCAGGCTCAGCCCACTTTATCAATATTATAGGAGGCCTGGCTACTCCTCCAGTGGAGACAAACACACGCGTGTGAGCTGGCAGACCTCTGCTCAGGGTGTGCCAGGGAGGTCTGCTTCCCCAACCTGCCACCCTCGGCACTGGGGCGATGAAGGTCCCTCCACCAGCAAGGCTGCTCAGCATGGGATATGTTTCATGAGGAGGTTCCTCAGATGGGCTCTGGGCGGCCTGTGGGAGGCGGGCAAGCGGCCAGGAGAATCCCAGAGAATGCCGAGCACCACAGCTGTCAGGCCTCAGAACCCGTGATGTAATGCCCCACTGGGGTCCAAGGAAAACAAGCCTGCTGTTGTCAAGACCCTCCCCGCAACCGGCTGCTGTCCTCCCAACAGCAGGCTGTCCCGAGTGATTGCTAATTCCCCCTCCCTGCTTGGAAGGAGGAAATGTGAAAAACCTTTATCGTCACATAAAAGCCAGCCCAAGACATGAGAAATGTCTTTCGAAATACGTCTTGCTGAAGCGGGATTTCCATAGCAACTCCAGAAGAGTGTGTATACAAGTAGAGATAAGTCCAGGCTGACGGAAGCCGCCTGGAATGTGAACAAGCCCAGCTCCAGGCGTCGTCAGCAGGCGGGGGTTTTCCTAGAACCTGTCACGCTGTCCCGTGACCCTGCGCAAGTCATTTACTCTCTCTGCTAAGATGACAGGATCATTAACAGGTGAGGCTGAGAGAGATCAAGGTCATCTTGCCCACCTCGCCCTCCTGCCCCAGTCTGGGGCGTCAGTCCCCCAGAGCAGCCCCTCTTCTGGTCTCTATCCAGTCTCAGGTGGGTAAATTCCTGCCTCGAGGCCTCTGCCAATCTTGCTTAAAGGCAATCGAAGGCTGATTCTGAAAGAAATTGCTCGGTCTTTTTAAAGAGAAGTGTGCTGCCTGATTAAGAAAAAAAACATATTTATTCATACACATTTTCAGAGTTCTACAGGTCAGGTTCCTGGGAGAGAGTCTCCAAGACTCTGAGACTGGGATGCAAGAAGTTTGCTGGGGCTGCGCTGAGGATTCACACCAGTGAGGAGCGAGGAAGTAGCACTGGGCGGAGGGAGAAAAGCGCTGGGAAGTCGCAACAGGGGCCTCCAGTGACCCCCTCAGGGAGTCTGGAGCCTCGTGGCCTTGCTGGAAGTGAAGCGGCTGGGGCTTTGAACTCCTGCACTGACAAGTCCCCAGATGCTTGCTGCCCTGGGCAGGGGGCTCGACCTTGGCTGAGGCCACGCCTTTCGGCCAGGGCAGCTCTGGGCGAGGACTCGGCCATAGCAGACAACCCCAGCTGAGGGGATGGGGGCCTGGGCCTGGGGGAGGCATGTGGGTGATGCACCACGGTATCCACCACACTCGGATCTGTTTGAATTGAACATGAAGTCAGCCCTGAAGACAGAGCAATAAAACAGTTAAGCGTATAGACGTCAGAGGTGGACAAAACGGCAAGACTGGGATTGAAGTGCAGTCTCTGTGGCTGTGAGACTCTCGGATGGGGAAATGGCCAGGAGAGTCTAAGCCAGTTTCCCTGCAAGCATGGGATTCAGCCTTGGGTAGTGAGATAAATGTAAAGTTCAGAGTCAGAATCAAGTTCAAGTTTTGGCTTTACATTACTGGCAGCGACCTTGGGCTGGTACTTTTACCTCTGTTTCCTGGACTTTAAAATGGGGGCCATCATGCTATCTCTGGCATAGGTCTATTATGGGGCAAACAGAGATAACACAGGAAACAACTCGCCTAGAACTGGCACAGGCTACACTCCTGAAAAGCAGGAGCAATAGGAACACCCACCGTGGTTTTAATATACCTCATGTTAGAGCTAAGCGGAGCCTTTTGGTTGAAGGGCCTTTTCAAAGGAGAAAGGGAAACTTTAGGTGAGCTGCTGATTTGCTCATTGTTTCTCTGTGCCTTTGCATTGGACTTCAGCTAGGACCTGTCGGTCATGTCTGTGGACAGAGGCCTTACATGACCATTCAATGCTAAATTAAGTGCCACAGAGTACTTTGCAAACTATGCACTTTGAAACACGATTATTTCCCAGTAAAAAATAGTCACTGGCATTTGTTACATGTTCAGTAAACAATGAAATTTCACCTGCAGTTACTTTGCCCACGTTCAGCCCATTTGCTCATCTGAAATATCAAACACCTTAAAGGGCTATGCAAATTCAATTACTGTTGTTGTTAGAAGACTCCGCTTCAATATCTTAGAAAGGAAGAGAATAGGCTTATATATGGTAGGAATTGGTGTGTTCTAACCATAAGAAGGCAGCCACAAAATTCCCAAGAGTTATCGAGGTATCTCTATTATTACTATTAATTTTCACTCTGTTGTATTTCAGTGTTCGGTTCACATCCACTATCTTGTTTAACTTGACAACAAATTCTGTAAAGTAGGTATTATTATCCCCAGCTTGCAGATGAGAAAACTGAGGCCCAGAGAGGTAAAGTGACTGGCACGAAATTGTTAGCAGCTAGGAGTACTGTGAGGAGTTGGGGGTTGGAACCCAAGCACACGCTCTCTCCATTGCAGAAAGAGCGTCTGCTTACCAGAGGAGGTTCATGAAGCTTTGAAGCATCGTGAAGTATGGTCTCAAGTAGAGCAGATGTTGCAACATCAGCTATTGAGTAATGGTGGGGCTCTGAATAGGTGGGTGTTGCATGTCTCTGGGGATTTGTATGTGAGAAATGTCCCCCAAATATGTACTGGCTCACAGAGACTGACCTTGCCAGGCTTAAGGGCCCTTGTCCTACTGCAGAAGAACACCCTTAGTTTGACTGTGTGTCTGCTAGCCAAGTATCTGAAAGAAATGTCTGCAAACAGAACATCTCAAAATAGGTGGGAAATCTTTCTCAACTACCCACTTAAGATGTTCTTAAGCTAACTCTCCTTCAGACTTCTTTTGTTTATCTCTGCTGGGACAGACACTGGTGCATGGAAGATTTAGCAATGCAATTGTATGTGTTGAGGAATTAAGGGCGACTACCAGGATGCATGTAAGTCAGGGGTTCCCAACCCCAGGCTGCGGACTGGTACAGTCCATGGCTTGGTAGGAACTGGGCTGCACAACAAGAGAGGAGCAACAGCAAGAGCGCAGGCAAAGCTTCACTGGCATTACCACCTGAGCTACGTCTCCTGTCCCACCCCCACACCTCCACAAACCTCCGTGGAAAATTGTCTTCCCTGAAACTGGTCCCTGGTGCCAAAAAGTTGGGGACTGCTGATGTAAATTACACAAGGTGCTTGACCAAGCCTCCCAACGTATAGAAATAACCTCTTGAGTGAACATATCTTCCTTTTATCTCAAGAGATCCTTATTTTAAGATGAGGACACTGAGGCCAGGGAGGTTAAGTGACTTGCCCAAGGTCTCGTAGTTACTTCGAAACAGAATCCAGGTTTCTAACCTAGGTGCTCAGACCCTACATGTGAAATCAGATTAAAATGAATATCCAGGATCAGCCAGAAAGGGAGAGAAGTCACCAAGGGCAGCTTGAGGGTTGCAGTGGAAGGAGACAGTCCAACCTTGGGTTCGGTGGTGGCAGTTCTGAGGGGCTGGCATTTTGTCAGAGCTATATCCCCCTATTTTTTGTTAGTGCTATTAGGCTCTATCCCCCTACTCTCCCACAAACTGCTCTCCTGAGACACTGCCCAACCACCAGCCTCCTAAAACAATGTTTCTCAAAGTATGTTCCATCAGTACAGAGCCTCTCCAACTTTAAAGTGCGCACAAATCACTAGTGAACTTGTTAAAATGTGGATTCCATTCAGGAGTCCTGGGGTGAGGCCTGAGGCTCGGCATTCTAACAAGCACCCAGGAAGGCTGACGCTGCGGGTCTGTGGACCGGACTTTGAGTAGTGAGGCATCAGCAATGTTATACACTGAAAAGTGTTTGTGGGTGAATACTTTTGAGAAAATCTGGACTGAATGAAATCAAACCCGTTTCATTACTGTAGGACTCCTCAGAGCCTCTAAAATGTTAGTGAACGTAGTTCATTTCCAATAGGAACAAATAATACAAAAACTGCTGTATTATAACCAGAAAAAGTTTAACGATGTAACTAGAATGAGTTGATGCATTTTGGTTTACAAAGAGGGAACAGAACAGGAGTAATATTGTACATGCATTTCCCCAGCTTACCTTGGTTTCAGTGTTCCCACGTTGCAGTTCATGTCCAGCCTGACTGCGCCCTCCCCTTTCCCATTTTCTCCTTTGAGGTGTGTGGGCGCTGCCCATCTCTTCCAACAGGCATACACATCCTGGCACCCTGCTCCTCCTCCCTCCCCTACTCTGTGCAGCTCTGTGCTCAGAAGACGAGGGCTGAGTGGAGAACGCGACCCGCAGGAATACCTTTCGCAGACGCGGACGGTCCAGGCCGCAATGATCCACAGCGAGATGCTGAACACCAGCAGCACGGTGCCCGGGCAGATGGTCATGAGGGTCTTCATGACAAAGCGGGTGTTGAAGTTGATCTTGTTGAGGGCCCCGATGCTGCGGGATGAGGCATCCGTGAAGAGCTTGCTGTGCAGCAGCATGACGCGTGCGATCAGGTACAGGCGCAGGAACATGGGGATGGACAGGATGATGTCCACATCGGCCTCCGCCCGCGAGGGTGTGTAGGAGAAGGCCAGGCGAGCCGTCCAGAAGAACTTGTACTCGCCGGGGATGGGGTGGATGGCGCACACCAACATCTCCAGACTGATGTAGAGGATGCGCTCATAGGTCATGGCTATCCGCCAGTCATCCGCACCATTGTCAATCACGAAGAGCTGGTGAGAGCAGAGAGCCCATTAGTGTGGCCAAGACCGAACCCAGGCTGTAGAAGGGAGGGCAGGGCAGCCGACCTGCCTCACGGCCCTCTCTGGAGCCTCGCTTGTGTGGTGAGCGCCCTGCAAAGAGGGCGAGGAGACCTGGCTGAGACAGTTGCTCTGGGGACTTCCACTTCTGTAAATTGCTTCCCAATGTCCCCTCCTACTGGAAGGTGACCTCAACCTGACTGTTTGAGGAAGAGGAGGAGGAATAGCTCATCTGTATTAAAAACAGTTCCTAAGCTCCTGCCAGGCCCCGAGCTAAGCCCTGGAGGGGAATCTGGAGATGAAAAGTTGCGTTTCCTTCGTGAGTGAGCTGGCACAGGCTGGCACAGGCTCCCCTTCCCATTCGGAGAAGGCACCCGCAAGTGTTTGCTGGCGGTGCTTTGCTCTCACTCAGAGTAGCGGGGCGCTCATGGTGCGGGCCACGGAGAGGAACTGCCTGGGTCTGGATCCCGATCCAACCCTACCTAGCCTAGCACCCAGCAAACGTTCTATAAGTATTAGCTATTATTATTTTTAGCATTATTAATGCATGGGGTCTCAGACTTTCTGTAGAATAAGGACTCGAATCCGTGATGTCTAAGCTCCCTTCCAGCCCTAACCTTCCGTGAAGCCGAGATCCCTGCTGTCATGCCAGGGGGAAAGAGGAAGCAGCTGAAACCAGCATGTACTGAGCACCAGCTGTGCGCCCAGCCCGGGCTCGTGTTGGGGTTCACATATAGGGAAGGGCCCCAGCTTTCCTCTCAAGGAGGTCCCACCGGGAGGACTCAGGGTTGAACAACACAGCTCTGAGCATGAGGATCAGAGGGGGAACTATGGGGGGGGGGCACTACGGGAGCCACTGGCTGAGGGGCCCACCTCAGCCCAGGTGGCTCTAATTAGGAGGGGGTGATCCCTAAACAGGAGAGGGTACCCAGCACCGCACCCAGCCTAGACTCCCCACCCCCTTTCCTCAGTGCCGCTAAGCCTGAGTGTTTCTAGACACACGTTTCCACCGTCTGTGGAAACAGGGAAGACCTAATAGCTGCTCTAAGGGTTCCCTCTCCTCCTAAATGTCACCAACAGGCCAAGCCATGGCAACGTGACTGCCTGGCCAAACTCTTCAAATATAAAATGAAAACCATCCACTCTATCTATAAGAACTGCCTCAGGTTACTATAGTAACTGGGTTTGCTCTGGGCAGGAGCTGAAGCAACAAGTCACAGATTCCTTTGAGTCCCTGATGGGGAACAAGACTGTACGGCATCCAAGTTAAAGGGAGGGCGCATCATACTGCCCTACCTGACGGGGAGGTTCTGGGCCGGGGCGGTTCTGGGCCGGGGCACTGCTGCCACGGCCTCTCTGGCGCCCGGCTTCGGTTTCAGTTTCCTGGCGCAGTGCGGGTGGGGGCAGCCTGCAGAGCAGAGGCAGAGGCCAGCAAGCTAGACTGAGGTCTCGCACATCCAGTTGTTGGCTGTGTGGTCTCAGGTGGGTCACGCCGCTTCTCTGAACCTGTTTCCACATCTCTATTATGGGATTATTAACCTTGACCTTGCCCACTCATGAGATTAGTGTTGGGATCCAATATTACAGATAATAAGACAGAATGTGCTTTACTAACTACTCTAATAATGTGAGGGATTATTAAGACGCAGCCCTGGGGAGTGTTCATAAACAGTGCCGGGGGGAGTGTGTTGAGTGGGGGTGGCGGCGTATGAATGGCGGGAATCAACCCTCCCGGTGCCGATTGAGAGGCTCTGCTCATTAGGGCCCCTGTGCAGGGATTTGCGGATGTGCAGGGTGGGCAACATGTCCCAGAAAATTCCATTGCTGCTCCTTCTGATGACAGCCTGTGCCTGCTCCCATCTGACCCCTGGAAGCACAGCTCCCTCAGCGTATCAGATAACAGACACCCCGCCCTGCTGCGTCCTCTCTGGACCCTGCTCATTCCTTATAGATTACAAATCTCAGTTGTGAACATATTCGTGTTTACTTGGATTTTGTCTCTCTTTCCCCCTAGAGCAGCGGTTCTCGACCGGGCTGCAAGTGATTAGAATCAGTTGGAGAACTTGCTCAAAAATGCCCGTGCCTGGGCCACCCAGTCCAAGCAAACCTGGATCTGTGAGCGTGAGGCCCTGGCACTGGGGCTTTTCTTAAAACCCCCCAGCTAATTCTAAAGCGCAATCCAGATTGAGACGCACCAGTCACAGCTGGACGTCCAAAGGGACAGGGACCGTATCTTCCTTGTTTTCTGTGGTATCTCCAGGGGTCAGCTCACATCTTAATTTATAGATGTTCAGTAAATGCTTGTTTAGTGAAGTAATAACTGCCACTTACTGTGTGACTTTAGATGACTAAGCTCCCTCTCTTGGGCTCAGTTTCCTCCTCTGAGGAATGAGGGATGGATTAGATGATGTGTCTTCTGCTCTGAAGAGCCATAATTCTGTAGCCTTATGCAGCCCCTCTTGCTTGGTACCTCCTACCTCTTGTGTCTTCTCAGGGCACGTGGGCTCTCTGGAGACAGGACCCACGCCTGGCTCATTTCGCCTCTCGTCAATGCCTGAGACTATGCTTGACAGTCAGTAGAATTATAGTGAATAAAGTAAGTGGATGGCTGTGTCATATAAAGAAAAGGAGCTTGCCAGTGGCCCCTGTTAACCGCTCAGAATGGAGATTCCTACAGGAATCTCATTCCTAAGCCTGCAACTAGTGAAGTCCCTGATGATTCAGCTTACACCATGGGAAAGACACCACCTGGGTGGTCCAATCTGGAATAAATTGCTGCAGGTGATCTTCAAGCCTTAGGAAGTCCCAGAGTTAACCTAGAGCCAGGATCTCGAGTAGTGCTGGACCAGAGGAGCAGAGGGTGCTGTGCAAGCAGCTCCAAAAAAGGGCCATCCTCCCCTACATTTGGTCTTGGCTGCCCACCCAGCCCTAGTTCTAGAGCAGCCCGACTGTTTGCCCTGATGAATTCTGAGAGGGCACTAGGGTGATACGGGCAGGACCCGGCACGGCCCACTCTGGGCTGTCACGGAGCAGAAGCCTCAGGGGCCTGGGGCTGACAAACAAGTTTCCTCCTGACCTGGCCTGGGTGTTCCCCTTGTGTGCTGGCTTCCCTGGGTGGGGAAGGACAGCCACGTCCTCCAAGTTGCTGAGTCTTTCTGCCTCCTAAGCCCGAAACAGTGATTTCACTCATGTGGGGTATGGCCAGCCTGCAGAGGCTTCAGGGCCAAGGCCTATGGTCTCCTGACAGTGCCCTGAACAGAGCTGGCTCCAGACCTAATTCTCCTGCCATTTAACTGAGAGCCCTGGGGATTTCAGCCTGTTGGTATAATTCTGAGAGCTTTGAGAGCTTTGGAAAGGAGATTTTGTGTGACAGAGCAATTCCAAACTTGCCTTTAAGGAGCTTGTACTTAGAAAGGAGAACCAACTCAATGCAACTCAACTCAACTCAATTCAATAAAAACAATCAGTAAGAACCATATAGTACTTGAAATTTGTTAAGAGAGTGCATTTTGAGTGTTCTCACCCACACAAAAAAGTAATGACGTGAGGTCACGGATGTGTTCATTAACTTGATGGTGGTCATTGCTTCACAATGTATGTGTATATGAAATGATCACATCATACATTTTAAATAAATACAATCTTGTCAATTGTACCTCAATAAAAAAGAACCAAATAGGTGAGGATCCTGTGGTGATATAAACATGAATCAGACTCATATCCCATAAATCAGCTCACAATCTCAAGTGGCTCTAGCATGGGAGACACCATTGGGCCCATCTTGAAAAGCTTTTGGGGCAGGATGGGGTTTCAGTGGTGCCGGGAAGACCTGTGTCACACAGACCTCATATGGCAGCTCATCCCAATGGCCATAGGCTCCTCCCATCCTGTATGTTTGCTCCTTCACATGTGACTTTCCCTCTCCCAGCAAGGTGTACAGTATATATCTCAACCCCTTGAGTCTGAACTTGGCCATGCGCCTGCTGTGGCCGATGGGACACGAGAAAATGTAATGCAGCAGAGGTCTGAAAAATGTCACTGCAGTGGAGCTTGCTTTTTACAGCCAGGCATGCGAGTGAGGCCGTCTTCGACCAGCTACGTGACAGGAGGCAACCCATCCACCCCCTACCCCATGAGACCAACAGAAGAACAACTGGGCTGAGCCCAGCCCAGGTTGCCGACCCACACAATCATGAGCTAAATGATTATTGTTTTAAGCCATTAATTTTGGGGGTACTTTGTTATGCAACAAAACAAAACTAGCTCATGCACTTACTTAGCACGTGTATTAGAAGAGCTGAGTAATTTGCCCAGCATTTTAGCTTGTCATGCCTCAGCCCCTAGAAGAAACTCCCACCCCCACATAGCTGATCAATCAGGGTTGGCCAGTCTGTTCAAGTAACACGGTAACTGGATGGAGAGGAGGTCATTATCAAGGGGCAAGTCAGCTTCCCCCACCCAGTGGCCACATCATCTCGTATATCAAAGAATAACTCAAAGTATTTTAAAAGTTATTTTGCAAGCCATTTAATGATTTTGCATGCAAAATGTTTCTCACATGTGAAGAAGTCAGCTGGCAAACTGAACCAAGATATAAAGGCAAAACAGAACTTATTGGGTGTGGGGGAGAGAAAAACTGCAGGGAGTCAGGGAACTGTGAATCTTTTGGGAGAATTTTGGTAGTAAAATGATTTTCCTGGCAGCTAGCAAAGAGGTCGGTGTGGGTTTTACATCCTTGAATCAAAATTATCAAAGAAAACAACTTCAGTTATTTATGGATTCTTCAGAAACCCTGGAATTTTAGCTGTGGCACATGGGTGCATAACAGGTCCCCCCCCCCCCCACCGGCACCTTCAGGTCCCTCCTGTCTGCACCGCCGCCTCAGTCAGACCAGGTCTGCATGCTTCCTTTTCCTTTTCGGAGTTTCTCACAGTTCCCTGTGGAGGTGCACACTCTGACGGGCCATCTGGTCA